TTCCCATGGGAGAAGTGATTGTGGCTTGTCCTTCCACCATCTCCCCTGGGGGGGGGGGCGGTGCTTTTTTTCTCCCCCAGGAGTGCACATGCCCTATGGCAAAACTAAAAATAGTTTTTAGGTTTTTTTAATCTTTGGCTGGGGGGCAGCTTGCATTGCTTTGAGAGTCATTCAAGCTTAAACGTTTCTTTGAAGCTGTCTATAAGGCCTCCTACTTTGTCCCACCCTCTAGCATGTATTCCTCAATACTGGCAATGACTAACACTAAGTGGTTTTGTGTATCTCTCATGTTAAGTTCTAGGCACCGCTGGGTGCACTAAAGATACTAGGATTTCTGTTCTCTGGGAGTTCAGAGGACAAACCACCTCTCCACTTTAGAATGTCATAGAAGGCCTGAGACAGGAACCTGGTGCTAGGGAAGTACATGAAAACCTCTAACCTGCTTCATCCTGCCCTTCCTGAGGCCCAGGCTGCTTAGGTCGGGTGCATCATTGGTTGTTTTTCATCCCTGAAGGGCCTACTGTGTCTTGCACTGGTGTCTAACAAAACCAGTCAGCCCCTGCCCCTCCAGGAACTTAGGTACTTGAGAAAGTCAGATACTAAACAAGCTCATGAGTACTCCTAAAACTGCTCTGGTGGTCAGATCTGAGGTTAGGGTAGAGAGCTTCCTGAGAGTGCTTTGAAACTGTAAAGCATTTAGAGAAAGGTAAGCTGTGCAGGTCAGAAAAGGCTTCCTGAGACAGTGGACAGGATCTGAGGACCAGAGGAGGAAGAGGAGCAGCTAAGCAGACCAAGAGGTGATGAACTTGTAAAGCAAGGGGAACTGGGATTTATGCAAAGGCCATGGGGGGAGGGGATGTGAGGAGAGTTCTAAGAAATGAAAGAAAAAGTCCAGTGTGGCTGCAGTTGGGGGAAGGAAGCTGTTTTACCTAGAGCTGACAGGGCTGTGGGGTCTGAGAGCCAGCGGCTTCTGGGACAGCGCAGAGCAGGGCCTGGTCTTCCTTCTAAACTCTGACCTCCTTTGGATTTGAGACTCCTGTATTCAACTAATTTTCTTACCCCCAGAAATGAGCATGTTGTAAGTATATAGAACAAGTTAAAGATGAATAAGTGATTTAAGAAGTGAAGCTTTGCCACAAATAGAAATCTTATCAAGTTTGTGCAGATATACATCTTAAGTCTTAGTTTTCTTACTGAAGCCACTTGAAGTTGATTTATTTCCAGAATTTACAAACACGGGCGGGACACACCTAGCTAGGGACTCCAGTCTGCTAATATGTGATTATTTCTTTTAGATAGTTGATTCCCATCGATAAAGTGATTTGTCTCCCATAATCTCTTTAAATGCTTAAAACCCTTCAAAGAGGGCCAGAAGGTGGCATGGGAGTTAAGGCACTGGACTCCCAGAAGGCTGACTGTGGTTTGGTCCCAGACCTGGAGGCTTAAAACTCACACCAGGCGCATCTGCATATATGCCCAAAATTCTAAGAGGAGAATAAAGGATTAGGGATTGCTGCAAGGCCAGACCCCTTTGGGGGGAGGATTTCTTGCTTTCTGTCTCTTTGTTTCTCCAGCAAGTGACCTATAGCAAAAATCTCCTCTAAAAATATTAATAAATAAAAATAACAACAAACCCTTCAAAGATCTGGCTTCTAGTTGATGTTCCATAAATACTAGTTAAATGTTGGTTCACTCAAATCTTTCCCATTTATTAGTGGAAGCGAGGATGGCACAAATTACAATTGATGGAGAAGAAAGGGAAGATGCCTAGAATCAATCAGCTGAAGGGACAGCAGGGCACAAAGCCTGGGGCACTTGCTTCAGCTTCGAGGCTACTAGACTTGTCTGAAAAATCTTGGCTTCAGGGCTCACATGTGCCAGTCCCCATATATGTTTACTTCTTCTCCAAGCTGAGGGTATGATATGATTTAGAGCATCTTGCACAATGCTTAGCTACAGTAGCACCATCAGTCTGGAAAAACCAAAGCATTTAGAGAAACCAAAGATGTTGACAAGGAACTGTTCATTGGGATCTCTTGTCTCTTTCTCTTTTCCTCAAAGAGTAGAAGAGTAAAGGTGAGGGCCAGGTGCTAGGAAAGGACTATGGGTTTTAATGCTG